GTGTTTTATATTATTACAAAGCTATACTCACCGTTCATTTTTCACCGATATTAAAAGCTGTACAAGTGTACACTCTTTTAAAATGAAATTGAAGAAACACATTTTCATCATTGTTTAAGGGAGCGAGAGGGGAAACAAAAGTTTAATTGAGATTTCATTTCCTCGCCAGTTACTAAGCATGCAGTTATGGCAATGTATATGTTTTCAGAAAGATCACATATAGCAGAATACGATCATCTGTTTTGGGTTAATATTTGCTCAGGGGATTAAGTTACGATCGTTCCTGTGAACCTCCTAAACAGAGGTTTTTTTGCGGAATTGGCCGTTTTTCAGTGTTCCTTTTTTCTCTGTTTCTTTTTACTGTTGCTTTATGAGATAATGATCTTTGAAAATGCGTCTCGGAATTTTTATGTGCCTCATAGTTCTGGAGATATAGACCGTTGAATTTCATGGACTAAATTCCATGAACGTCTCCATGTTCTCGTGGCCATAACTCAACGTCAAGGGTTCACATAAACGTCCATGTTACATCATACTTCAGCCCATTATGTGGCAAATAGATTGTGTAATTTGTACATCTTTAGCATAAAGAATAGTGTTAAAAGATGACATCTTCAATAGTTATGATAGTCAAAAATTAGTTTTCGTAAAACTCAATAAAACGTTTCTTCGAATTTGGCCACTAATAAACAGCTAATTAATTACCAAATGTTAACCATTTCGATCATACTTTATCAATATACAAGTATCTGATCTGCGAGGACTGTTATATCGTGAAAACATGGTTGGTTGTTTTTTAAAAAGTGACAAAACTTAACAGTTTCATCGAAAACTTCAACAAGATGGCGCAATTAATTTATTCAAGTCCCTTTGTTATGATGAACAGCGTCAACAGTACACTCGGTTCTCTAAACATAGGGCGGGCCGTCATGACATCATATATTTACTCACGGGATATACATGCCTTCAAGTACAGATATGTACTATGGAGAGTGTACCATTATCGGATTCGTTATAATCAATTACATGTAGCCCCAAGTCAGCAGTTTTTTTCTCCCGAAGAAAAACGAAATGTAACGTTGGCCATGCTCACAGAAAACCACGAGCGGGATGGTGTTGAAGAGTGGTTACAGATAGACTAGGCAGTAATTCTATGTAACTACTAAATTTACGTATTGCGCGACGACCCTTTCCAATGCTATAAGCTGCAATCACCAACTTACAGTTTACATCGAAAGGATTTTGAGGTCTTTTAACAGCGTCAAAAATTTTTCGGCGGCCAGGTTTTTTGTTTGTTTTTAGAACTCCTTCCTATGATTATATTATGTTATTAAACACAGAGAAAAGCTATAATTCTATAGCATAATGTTTGTTCTGTGATCGCGAAACAGACACTATTTATAGTGATCTGCAATGGACATTTATGTTCATTTGATCAACAACAACAAAATATTATAGAAAAATATATTACAGTAGACGCTAAAATTAACTGGCAAATTTTTTGGAAATATCACAATTTTACAAAGGGCCATATAGATTGATAGGCAGGTTATTCTGATCAGTTCAAAGCAAGGTGGTCGTTGAGGAGAGCATGTTCAAATTTCATGTCAACAAATGAAGTATTTAACATGCGTTGTGCACATGGCTATGAGTCCCATAAAAAAAACAGGGCATGATGCGGCGACCACTGACGTTTAATTCTAACGGGAAAAACCATGGCATTCACAGGGGTAATGTAACTCTATTGGAGAAAAAAGAAGTATTTATCTTAAAGATCGCTATGGTCAATATTTTGGATAATGGGTCACAGATTGCGGTAGATCACTGAAACCAAAATATTGCCATTTTGGAACTATTTTCCCATCTACGACATTCGGCATCAACACAGGCCGGCTTTCTTATACAGTAGTACAATTTACACTTGGTAATGTAAAAATCTGGACATCCGATTCACTAAAATAACTAATTAGCGAATGCATTCTATTAAACACTGTGTTCAAAAGTTAAAATAACTTTGTATCATAATAATTCACACAAAACATAACATGGAAATCATTCATATACGGATGCCACGAGTGACCGGATGCCTTGTATTCATTCTTGTTGTGTGCGTGAAATTCTTGCTAAAGACGCCAATGTAAATTTGTGGCTCATTAATTCGTGCCCTGGAAAAAACAATTTACTACGATGTTATATTTCAGTATTTATTTTTTTGTGACAAAAAAAGATTACTCAGGTGCTGAATCCTCCTCGCCCATAGGAGATCTTTTACAGTTAATAATGTTTCAGATCAGTACAATAAAAAATACAAAAAGAAACAAAGAAAGGAGTTTAACTGTAAAACATGTCTTTGAAAGCCTGGTATCATGATATTCCTGTGAACTGAAATTGTCTGTAGGAAGTAATTAGCACCATTGCAAGGGGAGCACCCTAGAGATTAGCACTCAATGACGAGCAATTTTCTCCTTCAAAACAGATACAATGAAAAAATAATGATGAGATACACCTAAGTACAGATAAGACTCAAGCAATGTGCGACAACGTTAAAATGAGGTTTTTGATTACTTAAATTCCTAAATGAAAGTTTAGTAGGTTTTTACAGAGGGTGACGAATTACTGAGCTTGCAGGTAAATTAAAATTTTGTTGCAAAATTCTCATATATCTTTCTGTCATTTCTTTGATTAATTTAGACTAAATGGGCAGAAATTCTTATTGGCTATAGGTATTGATCAACATTTTTGAAAAAAATATCTAAAAATTCATGCAGATTTTATGAAAAAAAGACAATTATATACAAGCTGATTTTGATATGTTTATATAAGGTTAAAGACAGGTCAGTCAATTACGGAAAATGTTTAGGTTACAAGCAATACTGTAAATCACTTTCATTTTCACAACACAACGCAAGCTTTCGTGGTTCAGAGAAAATAAAAATGAAATTTTTTTCAGTTCAGTTTCATTCTTGCAAAAATAAATTGGGACTAATAATTACTAAAGCTGAATAATCTGTATTTTGACATCATAAAACTGTGTATAAATGTTAATATTGTGAAAAAACCACGACAGCTACTTGGAAGTGTAATTTTTGCTCAAAAACAAAACACTGCAAGCAATCTGATCTGCGTTTATTCTTTTGGTGGCCACAGCGTTTTGTTAAAAACACTGTACAGTTAATCGCCACACAAGAATTGTAATCTGCCGATCGTGCTGACAAGATATCGTAAAACATGCTAGCTATTGTCTCTGGAGACACCTAGGGTACATAATTTTCCTTAGATTTGACAGTATACAATTTTGGAGATGAAAAAAAAAAAAAATGACCCAAAATAAAGGTACCCCAGTAGTCAGATACTGCTGATAAAATGCAATTGTTCGAAAGGACTGAAGATTTGGAATAATTGCTACGGATTACTGACTACTATATTCAATATATCATACCTATCAGTCACAGCAGTTGTCAGTATCTTTTATATACAAATTATTGGTTGCTGACATACATTCAGTTTTGTCTATCAGTGCTTTGAATGCCGTCATTTTTCTCATCAATTTTTTGTGTTGTTTTGTCTATTTTTATGTATTGTTTGAAATTGTTTTGATAATTTTTAACCAAATAGACAAAATTGTGGATAAAAATAGAGAAAATTATGTAGGTAATTATTTTTAAACAAGCCATGCATGGAACAGTCCCCGTTAGTTATCAAATTTAAGATATATAGTTTTGTATATAGTAATATACAAAATGTAGCTGGAATATAACCATGTCAGGAATATGATTTTTTTAACATTAAAATGATTGACATTTGTATCTGATCATCAAACAAGTACTTGTCCATATTGAGAGATATTGCTCTGGAATAGCATTCAAAATCAACCATTTTTAATACATGTATATATATATATATATATATATATATATATAACATGATGTATAACGAATATATAAAATTTGAATATCATCAGTCAAAGCATTTAAGAGATATGGCTCTAGAAGCCCAATCATTAAAACAAAATGGCCGCCAGTCAGCCATTTTGAATCCAATCTGAAAAATAAAATGACGTGCTTCAGGAACCTGTAATGTCTAATGTATGTTATAAGTTTGAACAAAATCCATTCATGAATGCAAGAAATGCTTTATATTTGAGGATTTTTTTAGAGCACAAAAATAGCCACCATTTGGCCACTTTGAAAACGATTGTCAAACCAATATATCCGTATATCTATGACGTGATGTATAATGAATATTTAAAATTTGAACATAATCAGTCAAAACAAGTCAGACATAAGGCTCTGGAAACCCATTCATTAAAACAAAATGGCCACCAGTTGGCCATTTTGAATGTTACATGTATCTGAAAAACAAAATTATTGGCATCAAGGACCCATAATGTCTAATTTATATATTAAGTTTGAACAAAATCCATCTGTAAACAGCCAAGAAATGCTTGATTTTTATGATTTTTTTAGCACAAAAATGGCTGCCATTCAACCATCTTGAATCAGATCATAAAACAAAATGATGTGCATCAAGGTCCTATAATGTCCAATGTATATACAAGGTTTGAACAAAATCCATCTGTAAACAGCCGGGAAATGCTTGATTTTAATGATTTTTAGAACAAAAATGGCCGCCATTCGGCGGAACGGGGACTAACAAAATGTTGTAATTTGCATCCTAGCACAGTTCACGAAGTAACGTCTGTCTTGAATTCCAAAGTTTGAATGTCATCGTTTCTCACTTCTCTATCATTTTTATGTCATTTTCTACAATTGATTTGACAAACACTCCATGAAAACAAATATAACTGAGGTCACTGTCAAACATTTTATTTCTCAGATTTATTTTATGCTATTGTTCAAGAAATCCTGATAAAACAAGTCATGAATGACATAGTCCCTGTCTATCAAGTACTTGTGAAATATAGTTGATAAACTTTGATATTTAACCCTTATTCTGCCAGCCTTATCCAGATAAATTGATTAAATTTATTGATAATTTACCTGCCAACACCCATTGTGGTATAAAGATAATTCCAACATGAAACCAAGGAGGAAATCCCACAGGATTTATTGTACTGAGGACGACTTATACAAAACCTGAAACAGAAGAAAATGTATATTAATAGATAATTATTTATATCAAAATAAAAACAGTTGAGATGTATGGGTGTTTATACTTTCATAAAAATTTCACAGGGAATGAATAAAATTGGCTTTGGAATATCAGAAAAATAGATAAAAGACACTTGAAAAAACATAGTGAAACAATCACAGCCTTGTTTATACCCGGTAAAATTTAAGAAGAATAAATTTAGTGGTGTGATAGGTGTTAAAGTTTCAACATAGATTTCATTTGAAATGTAGGTGGAAGAATTACTGATGAACCAATTGAAATGAGTCACTGATGAACCAATTGAAATGAGTCACTGATGAACCAATTGAAATGAGTCACTGATGAACCAATTGAAATGAGTCACTGGTGAACAAATTGAAATGAGTCACTGACTAACAAATTGAAACGAGTCACTAATGAACCAAATGAAATCAGTCACTGGCGAACCAAATAGAATTAGTCACTGATGAATCAAATAGAATGAGTCACTGATGAACCAAATAGAATGAGTCACTGGCGAACCAAATAGAATTAGTCACTGATGAACCAAATAGAATGAGTCACTGATGAGCCAAATAGAATTAGTCACTGATGAACCAAATAGAATGAGTCACTGATGAGCCAAATAGAATGAGTCACTGATGAACCAATTGAAATGAGTCACTGACTGACTAACCAAATGAAATAAGTCACTAATGAACCAAATGAAATGAGTTACTGATGAACCAAATAGAATGAGTCACTGGCGAACCAAATAGAATTAGTAT